GGCCAACTTTTGTCATTTTGTATGTGTGATACAGCTCTTTCTCAAAGAGCGACCGGTCAATGTCTTTGGGCTGCAAAAGATGGAAGATGTTTTTGAATGCACTCGCAATGCTCTGTTCTGGTGCTATTGCCATCTGGGACCTTTCAGAGCAGATTTTGGGTGGCAAATCGAGATTGCGATCGATGTCATGACCACCTTGCGCTATGGAGACCCCAGTACTTATCCTGAATGCAGGATTGTCGGAGGGCTGCCAGATACGACTGAGGGGATCAAAGTACCATTGACTCGTTTCACGAAAAGGGACTTTTATATGGCCACCCTTTTCATCAGCTATCTGGATGCTATGACGCTGGATTACAAGAACTTCAGGTGGTCGACGTTTCGGGAGAACCTCTGGGAAGCATTCAATAAGGCCGTGCAGCACTCGGAGCTGGATGATGACTTGCGGATCGGAAACTTTGGTGGATCCTGGTGGGAATTCGAATTGAAAGAAGGAAATGTTGAGTGAAGTTTGGCTGCTTCGGCCATGGAGGAATTGGCTGTTTCGGCCATGGAGGAAAGTGGCTGCTTCGGCCACGACGACCGACTTATGAATGATTGAAAGGGAAAAAAAGGGCGCAGGAGTGCAATGCCGCTTTTAAACCTAGTTTCTGCCCACTATCTCGGGGACGTCCTTGAACTTCCTAAGATTTATAAATTATAGTCAAACCATTGTAAGGTAAGGGCGAATTGTCATCTCCTTCCAAAGCTCGGGGTCGTCCTTGAACCTTGTAAGGAGATGACGACAAGGGGGCGAAACGGGAATACCACTAAGCGCTTCTATTCTAGAAGCAGTTGTCATGTCATTGTCATCTCCTTAGGAAGCTCGGGGTCGTCCTTGAACCTCAGAAGGGGATGGCGATTTGACATCTCCTTCCAAACCAGATTTGTCAAGCGTCGTCGTCGTCGTGGTCGTCGTCGTCGTGGTCGTCGTCGTCGTCGTCGTCATCGTCGTCGTCGTCATTTGTCGCCGTAGCCATTCGGCGGCCCAAGACTTCGCCACCACCTCTGGCTGCTTCGGCCAGTGGCTGCTTCGGCCACATGGCGCTGGAAATGCGACGTTACGTCAAGAAGTATCCAGCTCGGGCAGCAGAGCAGGTTGCGATCGACGTTGGTGGGGTGCTGAGCGACAAACAGGTGGAGTACCAGGACGGACAGACTATCTACCGGGCAGCCATGCCTGGTGCATACATGTTCATCCACATGTTGAAGCACCGCACAGGCAGGTGGCCGAAGGTGGTGTCTCGAGTAAACCAGCCAGACAAGTGCCCCCACTGGGTGCACCGTTTTTGCGTGTCCCTGGGAATGCCACAAGGCCAAGTGAATTTGGTCAAGCACATGGACGACAAGAAGTATTTCACTGAAGGAATGACTTGCGTCATCGACGACCAATGGCTGGCGTTAAAAATGATGGCCTGTGGAGGCCAGGACACGTTGATTGATGCTATTTGGTTTCATGCAGACAAAAAGAAACTGCCACCAGGTCAGAGCTCTTTGGATTCATGGGTGGGCGGAAAGATGACCATCCTTGGCACTTTTGAGGAGTTGGTCCAACATCTGCGGCTGCAGTGCCCGCCCCAAGTCCAACAAATTTTTGCCGAAGGGCCTCCCAATGGTCCGCACAAGCCAGAGTTGGCGCAACGGGCTTTGGCGCTTTTGGAGCCAAAAGAGGTCGGGACCACAGTCGTCCAAGCAGGCGGCAAGGACGACGACGAAGTGACCGTGGCTGCTGCCCAGGACGAATCTGTCCACGATGTTGATTTTGATGACGACATGGCAGCTCTTCCAGCAGCTGCGGCCACTGAGGCTTTTGTGGCTGCTTCGGCCACTGAGTCTGTGGCTGCTTCGGCCACTGAGTTTGTGGCTGCTTCGGCCACAGAAAAAGAGGCGGTGCCTGACCAGCCTCAGGGTGCCGTGGCTGAGACTGCAGCTGCTGCGGCTGCGGCAGGTTCCTCCAATCCACCATCGTCCGGCTTGATCTTGACAGAAAGACCTGATCACATTGAGAAACCGCTGGATGACAATGACGAGGAGGACCGTGCAGCAGAGAAAATGAAGCAAAGGAGGGTCTTCATTGCTGCAAAAGATGATGACTACGAGTACTACTCTGAGTACATATATTCCTCCGATGATGATGCACCCCATGCGGGCAGTGCCAAAGACATTAAAAAAAGGCAAGCAACCACTGGGTATCCCCAAAGCGCAGACAAGAAAAAAAGAGAGACGAAAAGCTCACGGGAGCCAAGCCCATCTGTGGGCAGCCCGCGTCCAACCAGAAAGCTGGGCGTTTCTTTCAGGGAGCGTCCTGCAAGTCATGCCGACGTCGTCTCCGCGGTCCACCAACTCAGGAGTGACATGCAAACAGTTGTGAGGCAAGCCGTCTGGTCTGCGTCGTCAACGCCCACGCAACACCCATGGGGCAGCAATCGCAGCACGCACTCTGGATGGGCCCAAAAGAAAGCTCAGAGAGCCATGCAGCACAGGGCGGCCGCTGGCAATCGCCCTCCCAAGGTGATCGACTTGCCCATGTGCACAGGTTGCCAACGCAACCAACCTGGATGTGGATGCACTAGCCACATGTGCCGCCAGTGTTGCACGGACCCGGCATGTCCGCAGCATGGTGGCTAAGATGGCTGCTTCGGCCATGTGAGAGGGCTGTTTTTGTTTCTGCTGTGGCTGCACACAACCACGCGTGGATGGCTGTGAGCGGCCCCGCAGGATGTCGTTCAGAAGACTTAAAAAGGAAGTCTGCGCAAGTTTTTTTCGAGGAATTGCATTTGAAGTGAATGTTGACATCCATACTTCTATAGATAATTTCGGAAGATTTAAAGATGATATCGCAACGTGACATGCCCCTGTCCCCCTCTTTTTCCTAAATGTTTGTGACCTGTGAGATTTGAGCGGCTCAAGTCAACTCAAATCAACTTTTTGCCCATGCCGCCCAAAAAGAAGCAAAAAAAAGAGCACCTTGCCCTTCCGGCGGCAGATGACGCAGACGTGGACATGGATCCTGGACCTTCGAAGGAACACCTGATGAAGGTGCATGATGCTTTAGCCGTCATTTACTCACATGGTATGTTCAAGGACATCCTCACAGCGGAGCCTTTGTCCGTCAAAGATGGCGGCAGAGAAGCATCACTGGATCTGCCTCAGGCTGCTTCGGCCTTGAAAAACGTGGGCGTCTACAAGTGCGCGGCAAATTTTTTCCACCAAGACTTCTTGTTTTTGGCCACCCACAAGGTTCCCATCAACAGTGCACAGGTGCAACAAATCAAGCAGCACTGGTTTCCTTCGAACGAGCCACCGTCGTTGTGCCCCTTTACCATCACTGTTGCTCTGGAAACACCTGCTTGCATCGGCAAGCGTCCGGACAATGGATTTCAGCGCCTCAGTCCTCCAGAGCCGGTGCATGCCCTGCTGTTCGCCCTCGCCGAAGCCATTGAAACCAAAGCCAAGGTTGGAGTCTTGCGCGCCTTGAAGAATTGCATTCTCACGGCCACCTTTGTTTTTGAAATCTGTCCCATTGGTGAACAACGGTATTGGCGCGCGGCCAATATTCGTGAGGAGATGGTGGAGAAGGGGCTGTCCGTTCAGATGAGCTTGAGGCAACGCATATATGAGATCTCAGGCTTTCATGAGCAGAAGAAAAAAACTGAGGCCAACTTGGGTTCGAAAAAACTGGCTGGTCTTTACACCCAGCATCTCAAATTAGCCTCGAACCAAGAAAAA